ATTCTGATGAAAATTATGTATAAAAGAGACATATAGTGCAATTTTAAAGATTTTAAAATGAAAAATTTGTCATTTTTACCTATCAAATTTCAGTCACAACTCATAAACAGCAATAAGAGTTAATTCACACAAAACGTTTTCTTGCAATGAAATCTTATAATGGCTATGTTGTTGCCCTTAAGGGGTGTCTCAAATGGCCGACAAATTGAGATTTTAATTTGGAAATCTTGAATTCCAATTTTAAGATAGGTGAGGAGAGATTAAGGGAAAATGCGAGTTATCCTTTATTATATAGTCTATATCATTTGATAATGATTAAGTGATATAAAATGAGTAAATGCATATCAAATTTCACATGAAATAAATTAAAAAGAATCAATTTTTATTACTATCACCTACCAGCGTGGAACCAGATTTTATTGCTGGGTAGGTTTATTGTATTTTTTAACTAATAGGGCCTAAAATTAAAAGGCCTTGTGATTATTTTTATTTTAATAAGTAAGGCCTACGATTATAAAGTTTTAAAATTATAAAAAAGTTGTTGATGAAGGGTGAGGTTTGGGTCTAATCTCACTTAAAAGTAGGTCCATTCCTTATCACTTAGGATGGTAAGATTTCATCTTAGGAAAATGGATTTGTTGACACATTGACATTAAATGAGTAAATGCATATACTATGTTAAAAAAACAAATAAAAATTATGTCATATTGTTCCATAATATTTTGTTGTTAATGTCAACAAATTATATATTTTTGACGAAAACAATGTGTGTAATGGGAAGAAAATGCAGTCCTTATAGGAAGTGACTGTAAGTAGTTGAAATACCTCAATCATGATGGTGAAGCCTTCAAACACTTATACTAACTATATCATGGAATTAGTTCTAAAATGAAAGAATTTCGACCTTCAAATCAACAAATTAAATCTCATCAACAGAAGCAAGGTTTGTATCATATTACTAAGTACTATAGGGTATCATAGTTCCAAAAGGCTTGGAGATAGCGTGGGATATAAAAGTTACAAGGTAAACACACTGAGGTCAAACCAACTAATAAGATGTGCAGGAAACTTACCATTTAAATTCCAATAAGGTTTATTTAACATATTTACTAAATTTCTAGCCAAAAAGCAGTACTTGTGTTTAGTTACAGGATGATGCCACTCAATCTAGTCTACTGTGCTTTTACAGGGATATGCCAGTTGCAGTTGTCTTATGCTTCAAACACTGCCAAGTCCTAAGAATCCGGAAGTGCTAGAGTGATTTTGTAATCTGTAGCTTTTTGGTCCAGGCGCCACCAGAGTTGATACATAATCTGATAAAATGCATCATATTTGATTGGAGGTGAGTTCCACTGGAAGTATTTCTGAACCTGCCATCCATTTGCTTGAAAACCAAACTCTCTCCTGAGATGTTATACAATGAATTTAAAGCATTCATTCTTAAGAGTTTGATGACATTGCATTTACCTTCACTGTATTGCTTTGCAAATTTCTATATTCTGCTTCTGGTATCTCCTCAAGAAACTTCAACACGTCGAATTCAAGATAATAATCTTCTTTGATTTGCACAGAACATGCACTCCAGTTCATTGTGCTAGAGAATGGCAATTCATAACGGTCAGGCCAAACAACTGCAGAAATAAATGGACAGGAACAACTTAGAAAGACAAGTAGATTACATAAATTCAGAAACTTGACCTCTTTTATGCTTTAAGGTGTCTTACCAGGAACACATCCATAGTGAATGGCATCAGCAATACGCCCAACACTCATTTCAGATCCACCAGGACACAGGCAAAACTTACTTGTGTTGTAATCTAGTGTCCATGGTGCAATATTCTTATATTCTCTTGTTCTTCTGCGCAGCAAAGAAATGGTATGGTTGTTCGTCATGAAAAACTCTGCCTTTGTATCATTCAGCAAAGCTATTTCTTCAGATATGGCATCACCCTCCAAGAGAACCAGTCTAGTTCTGGGATATTAGGAAACCATTAATAAGGTAATTAACACCTTGTTCTGCGTAAGTTCAATTGAAGGTCAGTGAAATCAGCACCCAGAAAAATTCACATCGGATGAAGAAATCCCTTTAGAGGAGTTGTGAATTACCAAATTACATGTCATGTTATTAATTAGTTGGAATATACATAACTTCAGCTGAAGAGCTTGTAACTCTTTTCATGGCTAAATAAGTGTGTTTCACAGAAAGCATACTACTTCGTAGCGCTCACACAAAGACACACAAACACGTGCACACACACACACACGCCCGGAGAGAGATGTTGCAGCTGAAATTACCTCTTTTTTGTATCACTTCCAGCAGCTGGATAATCAAATGGCAGCAGTACAGGAGGGAGGGCTAGATCCTTGTCTTCAATATATCCATCACCACGATCAGGATAACATGTAGAATGCATATTAATGTAACTTTTGAAAAGATCATTTTTGCTACATAGGTTAAAGGGTGCTTTTAATTTGTACCTTAATAGTACATTTATTATGGTTTTTTTTTTAATCATTAATCAAATAAAAACTTATAAAAGTAAATTTTATTTTTAACTTTAATGTTAAATAAAATGTTTTAATTAGATCGTTTATAAAATTTAAATTAATTTTTATTTTTTACATAAATTAATAATAAAAAATGTAATGCCCTTAAAAATTTCCTAAATTAAAAACAAAAAAAGAAAAAAAAGTTAGTGTAGAATTTGGATTGTATTGCACAACTTAAACTTTTAGAGGAGGCAGGCCACAGAGAACTTTAGAAACGAAAAAAAGAAGAAAAAAACCGAGAATCCATTGAAATTTTTGTTTCCATATCACCTCAAAGAGTCTGTTCTAGGAAATGACAGAACCGTGCTTCTGTTCCATTCCATTTTTGGCTTCATAATCATAAATTCCCAATTTTATTTGACATTGTGTCAGGACTTACAGGAAACATTGGATGAACTTGCAAATGCATCAGGGTATCAGATTTTGAGAATCCATCACATTTTGAGAGCAGGTAGGGGTTTTGAGCAACCTGGCAGCTGCCATATAGGTAAGTAACCATAAATATGTTTTTTACTTCCGTATGTTCATGAATGCTAAACTTACAGGTTGACATTGATGACACCAACATGGGGACTGGTTGGCCTGGGACCTGATCTTGCAATGTGCATGTGTATGGATATGGTTTCTCGATGATTAACAATAGATCTTCGGGCACCCTTCAATGCCTACAGACACAAAATTCTCAAATATATGCAGCTGCAGAAATTACCGGGCACATCTTGTTACCATTTTTGTTTTTGTTAGTCTTAAATTTTAAATAGTGAATGACGAACTTGTGCCTCACACATTTCGGCCTCTTTTCTGCATCGTTTATATCAGGAAATGGTTCAAGACCTTTTAGTCTGTATAAAGCCTGTGTAATTTTAACTTGGAAAGATGTTCGAGGTACATCAAGTAGGCTATGTTTGGTAACCTTAAAAACATTTTCTTGGAAAATTTTGCCTGGTTACAATGGAAGAAAGTTGGGAAAAGTGCAACACCTCAAATCACTTTAGATGCAACTTGCTGAGTGCAACTTGCAACAAAGGAATGTTTGGTTTGAAAGAGATAAAAATGAGGGAGGGGGGTAAGCGGAGAGAAATGAAGGGACACGATATTATTTTATTTCTTCCGCTCTTCTCCCTTGATTTTGATAAGTTAAAATTAACCAAGGAATTGAAAGAAAAAAATAAAATAAAGGAAGCTTGTTCTGTTCTCCCCCATTCTTTATAATTTATTTTATTTTATTTTGTAACTAAATAAAAGAAGAGTTTTCCCTCTCTTCTCCACATACCCTAAGCGATGGTAAGGTGTTGGGTAACACTAAACATAAATGCAAAATCTGTGCGTGTACTCCACTTTTTTATAATTTTGCCATAGCAATAGCTTTCACTCTTAGTTATCAAGAATCAATACTCTGGTTTCCAGACAAGGAAAAAAAGAAAGGCGGGGAGGGGAGAAGAGCCCTCATGCTTCAATAGAATGGAAGCAATTTCAGAGTTAAAACATGATAAAAGAAACTGCATCATATCTCTCATAGGAGGGGGTTCCATTGGAAGTACTTCTAACCCCTTTATCAATTGCTTTAAACAATATTGAACTCAAAACAATACTCACTCCAGTATTTCAGTGGAAGATTTTTATTATTTTTGTTTTATATGTTTATCTACGCTGCATTTTCTTTGCAATTTTAAATATTCCACAACTGGTTTGGTCTCAAGAAACTGCCAAACACCAAAAACACCATTCTCCTTGCATTTTAGGGAAAATTAGTGAAAGTAAGAAATGGTAGTCCTAATTGGTCATACCCTCCTCACAATTATCTCGTTTTTATGATTTGACAAAGGAATGGACATTCCTCCAACCAAATGAGCCCTAAATGCACAAAATAACCAGAACCCAGAAAAGAAGATTCCATATGCACAACATACTGTATTCAAAAAACATTGTCTTATTACCAGGGAGGACAGCTGGTGCATTTTTGCATTGCAGACAAGACATACCCTTAGATCCTAAACATAAAAGCTGATCAAAACACTGTGAGGTCCTAAAGATGCCAAAAAGCACTATTCACTTTCAGAAACAAGAGACTTGTGTAACATATTTACCAAAGACAGTGCTGTCTAGGGGAAACTTCACAATGAATTGCAATATTCACATTCAGAATCAAGAGATTTGTGGAACATATTTACCAGATTTCTATCCTCAAAAACAGTACTTCTGTGTTGTTACAGGAAGATGCCAATGGGCACACCTTGTCAATCTGGTCTTGTGCTTTTTTGCCAGGGAGATGACAGTTGCAGTTGTCTCATGCTTCAAACATTGTCTCAAGTCCTAAAAATCTGTAAGTGCCATACTGATTTTGGAATCTGAAACATGAAGGCCCAGGCTTTGCCAGAGTTGATACATGGTCAGATGAAATGCATCATATTTGATGGGAGGTGAATTCCACTGGAAGTATTTCTGAACCTGCATCAATTTGCATAGAAAACCATATACTCTCTTCAAATGTTAAATGAAGTACATTCAGTCTAAGACTGCAATGATATTGCATTTATTTACCTTCATTGTATTTTCTTGCAAATTTCTATAT